TCGTTTTACGACCTCTGCGCGATCCCTGGCCCGCAACCCCCCGTCGCCCCGTAACGCGATGTAGAGCCTGGACCTGGATCGGCGTGACGGAGGCGGACTCCGCTACGGACGGTGAGAACGATTCTGACCGATGTTTTGTTGGCGCTCTAACCGCGTATGCCGGCGCCCGTGAGACTGGTGCTGCCTCCTCCATGGCGGGTTCTGAAGCGAACTGCTGCGTGGCGTCCTAGCGAGCGGAGCGGATGCGGCCAGCCTCGCTGCCCGCCTCGCCTACGCACCCCTGCCTCCTTCAGCGCATCCCTCGACTCCGTCTCTCGCGCGAGCCGCTAGCGGAAAGCGCCGCCAATCACGATCTGCTGAGGGCGTTACCCGCGACGAGCGAGTCGCGCGGGCGGCGAAACGAGGCCGGACCGAGCGGCCGAGCCGCCGTTCGAAGTCGTAACGGGGCCGATGTTAGACAAAGTCCGGCGCGAAGTTTGGTTGAGGCCAGGAACACCTGTCGCACTGATTCGGGAGGTGTTGACCGTCGATGCGCGGCGCCCCGCCGGCTCGCTGGGAGCACGCCGCCGCTGCCAGCTGAAACTGCGCCATGGCGCCGCCGAACCTGTCGGCGCCGCCTCCACCGCGGATGCTGCCGGCCCTCGGCAGCCGTGGCCGCCGAAGTTGGTGGCAGTCACCTGATATTCCGCCGAAGTCGCCGCCTCTCTGAATGCCAGCGATTCCCTAGCGCCCACCGTAAAGCCGCTTCGCCGCTCTGATCCAGCGAACCTATGCGCCAGCCGTGTAAAGCCCTTCTCGCCTCTCTGAACTGCCAGCGATCTAGCGCCCTGTAAAGCCGCGTTCCTGCTTCCGGTAGTCCGAGGCCCAGCTGCCTCCTGGAGGTCGCAGCCGAGGACGCCGGACGACGACTACAAGGTCTTCATGATGAACTTCTGCCGAGAAACAGGATATCAAGTGTTAAGTTTAGGTTCCCTATAAGAGCCAGAGGGAGCTTAAGTAACTGTACGATAGCAAGTCGAGAGTTAGGTTCCCTATAAGCAGAGGGGAGCGTATCACGTAAGTGTAGATATCAAAGTGTAAGTTAGGTTCTGCCTATAAAGCAGAGAGAGCATCTACGTAAGCGTATAGCATAGCAATGTGAGAGTAGGTTCTATGAAAGCAGAGGGGAGCCCTAATAGGTAAGCTGTCCGATACAAGTGTAAGTTAGTTTCCTAGTAAACGCAGAGGGAGCTATTAGTAAGCGTAGATCTCCAATGTGTAAAAAAAAAACGTTAGGTTCGCCCTAGCTAAAGGAGGCGGAGCTATAGTACTATAATCGCTAAGTGTAGAGTAGTTTCCTAGTAAATGCAGAGGGGAGCTAATAGTAACTATAGATAGCCAAGTGTAAGTTAGTGTTCCTAGTAAAGCAGAGGGGGAGTGGGAGCTATCGTAAGCTATAGATAGCAATGTAGAGTTTAGTGTCCACTAGTAAACGCAGAGGGGAGTATACTAAAGCTATAGATAGCCAAGTAGAGTAGCTTCATAGTAAGGTATGACGAGAGAGAGAGAGAGAGAGAGACGCGAGAGAGAGAGAGAGAGTCAGCAAAAAAAATATGGAGAGGGGTGAGAGAGTGAGGGAAAGAGGACGAAGAGCGTACCGGCGTAGAGGTACAAGAGAGAGAGATAAGAGAGAGGAGAAAGAGAGAAAGAGAGGAGAGACGATGAGAGAGAGAGAGAATCTTGAGAGAGAGAGAGAGAAGGAGAGTAGATAGATGAGAGAGCGAGAGACGAGAGAGAGAGAGAGAGAGAGAGAAGAGAGAGAGAAAGAAGAGAGAGAGAGAGAGAGAGAGAGAACGAGAGAGAGATAGAGAACGAGAGAGAAAGAGAGAGAGAGAGAGCCAGAGACGAGGAGAAAGGAGAGAGGAGAGGACGAGAGGAGAGCGAGAGAGAGCGAGACCGTCTCTCGTCCCTCACCACACCAACATTCGCTTCACACGCAGTACATCCGATTATCACGGACTTAAAATGCATGACGCAAGTAACGTTCATTTCTACGTAATATACTATAAATATATTATATATACTATATATAATATATATCTGCGACGAGCGAGCGAGAAATAGATAGACAGATATATATAGATCTATACTACATAGATAACACTACCCAAGCAAACAAATATAACATGGAGCAACTAAACTATAACCTATACTAATCTTGTAAAAAGTACGCTTGTACTCTACTCTCTAACGCGCTTAATCACCGGCGCTCTCTAACTGTTATATATTGCGGATGATTATGTGGGCTTTCTTCTTACATATTATCCGCCTCTATATTTTATATACTCTTCCATGATTAAATGCCCATGCTATCTATTCTAGCTAGTAGCTCATTGCTAACGTGTACATTAAAAAAACAATAAATAAACAAATAATCACACGGTGCCAACGGGGTAATACGATAGTGCCTTGCCGAGTATGTCCACATGCTGTAGTTTAATCTTACCTTGGAGTAAACATGACGATTCTATTATCATTTACTGTTGGAGTCTTATTCATATCACATTGCCATCAGAATCAGAAGGATATCATCAGAAGATTACTCCAAGATCTTCTTATCATATAAATCAAGCTGTCTGTCGCCTTACCCAACAATTGTGTCTGTCCTCTGTGGACCTCGCGTGCCACTCACTGACAACGCAAGTCTTAAGAGCAACTAGTGTGACCCGTGAACCGCTATGGCCTCGAGCTCGTGTCTATATCTTGGCATCGGTGGACGGCCACGCACCTGTTTCGGGGGGGAGGAGGGTGGGGAGGGAGGGGAAAGAACATGCGCCCATCGAAGCGGGGGGGAGGGCAGGGAGGGGGAGAAATTGTGATCAGCGTGAATCGTCGTCCCTACTGGTGCTAGCGCCTCGTGACGGTTGATCACTAACACAATCATACTACCTCTTTCTCATCGTCTCTCTTTCTCTCGCTACCCTCTCTCCTTCTCGATCTCGCTCCACGCGATCCTATCTTCATACCCAATACCTCATCCACACTTTCATAAACTTTTCTGCTCTCTACCCGTCACCTCTGTCATCTCGTCTCTCACACGCGCGCGCGCGCGCGCCCACGCACACACACGCGCGCGCAGGTGCCCACGCACACACGCGCGCGCACGCGCCCATACACACACGCGCCCACGCGCGCGCACGCGCCCATACACACACGCGCTCGCACGCGCCCACACACGCTCGCACGCGCCCACGCACACACACGCGCGCGCACGCGCCCACACACGCGCGCGCCCACGCACACACGCGCGCGCAGGTGCCCACGCACACACGCGCGCGCAGGTGCCCACGCACACACGCGCGCGCAGGTGCCCACACACACGCACGCGCCCACACACACGCGTGCGCCCACACACGCGCGCGCAGGCGCCCACACACACACGCGCGCAGGCGCCCACACACACACACACGCACACGCAAGCACACAAACGCCCGCTCACACACGTACGTGCGCGCACATACACGCGTGCGCGAACATACACGCGTGCGCGCATATACACGCGTGCACACACGTGCACGCGCACAGACATTCTCCCTTTTTTTCTTATTCTGGCAGTCGCCTATTATTAAGACATATATTTATTTTAATTTATTAACGTGTTCAAAACTTTGCATCTTGGCAACCTATAGTAATGGAGCGGACGGGTGCACGCGCGCACGCCCACACGGACGGACGCACACACGGACGCACACACGGACGCACGCACACACGGACGCACGCACACACGGACGCACGCACGCACACACAGACGGACGCACGCACGCACGCACACACGGACGCACGCACACCCGGCCGCTATTACTGAGCAGCGTGATAGATCACAAGCCGTGCCGACAATACCGCGTGACACGAATCTGTCGAAACGAAACAAAACGCTGGCGCGCCGATTCACGCACCAAGCAGCACGCGCACGCGCACACACAATGCAAGGCGGCCACCGTCGCAACAGAAAACAACAATTGAACAATCGAACAGGCGTTTGCGTGTTTTGGAAACAGGAATAATGTAAAAATTTTATTCACAGCAGTTGTTTCGTTTGGATGCTGCGACACACATACGCGCACATCGTTTACATACTCACTCACGTACACACTTAAGCTGGGTTTGTCGCTGTCAGCCTTCAGTTGAAAAGTTGACTAATAATTATTGATGAAATTTTAAACGTTCTATCTCAACATTTCTATACGATGTTCAAGTGGGACGATGACGTCATTAACGGAATACCGGCCAGGGATGTTGCATGGGAACCAAGACACTCACGTACGCGTCTATAGTCCCACTGTCACATTCCATCCTCACCCTTATTTTTAGATTTCGGCACATTTATATATATACATATATATATATATATATAGCATTGTTATACGTGGGAGGGAGCATTGTTATACGTGGGAGGGAGCATTGTTATACGTGGGAGGGAGCATTGTTATATGCGGGAGAGAGCATTGTTATACGTGGGAGGGAGCATTGTTATATGCGGGTGGGAGCATTGTTTTGTTCATATGAGTAGACAGTTTTTCGCGTCTGGTAGGATCATCGCGGGACTTCGTGGGTATGTTTGTTGTCGGGTAAGGACATTGTAGAGGCAATTGCAGATCGATACTTGGTCGCGAAAGAAACCATTGCTGGAGAGCGAAAGATGACAATAGCTGGGCCTCAGGAAACAGTAAACAACTCGGTGCGTTCGTTTTCTTTGCTTTTATTCTACATAAATACTAGTACAAATGTTTCGTTACGAATGGCCTTGCGATTGACACAGTTGCTTAACACGTGCGGGGCCGTGGCGGCAAGGTGGATGTCACATTGCCAATTAATCGAAATTCAGCTTCGAGTTTATTCGATTAATTAGTGATTAAATCTTCAGCAGAAATAACGAAATGAGTCGGAAATTTTTGTCGTTCTTTTAGACACTGTATATCTGAATGAAAGAGGAGTCGACATCAGCGCCATCTGCAGGTCATCTACTTTCGGCCATAGTCGTTGACCGACCTCTGCGCGATCCTGGCGCCCCCGTAGCCTACGGCGGATGTAGGGAGCCTGGACCTGGGTCCGGCGTGGACGGAGGCGGACTCGATACGGACCGGTGAGAATCGGATCTGACCGTTGTTGTTGCGTTCGAACGCGTATCCGGCGCCCTGACTGGTGCTGCCCTCTCCACTGGCGGTCTGAGTGAACTGCTGCGTGGCGTCCTGCGAGGCGGAGCGCGATGCGGCCAGCTCGATGCCCGCCTCGCCACGACCGCTGCCCTCCTTCAGCGCACCGCTCGACTCCGTCTGTCGCGCCGAGCCGCTGCGGAAGCGCCGCCCAACGACGATCTGCTGGAGGGCGTTACCGCTGACGAGCGAATCGCGCGGGGCGAACGAGGCGGCCGAGCGGCGAGCGCCGTCGAAGTCGAAGGTGGCGATGTTGACAAAGTCCGGCGCGAAGTTGTTGAGGCCGAACGACCTCGCATCGATGTTAGCGAAGTTGTTGACGTCGATGGTGGCGCCGCCTCGCTGGAACCCGCCGCCGCTGCTCAGCTGGAAACTGCGCCTGGCGCCGCCGAACCTGGCGGCGCCACCTCCCACGCGGATGCTGCGCCTGGCACCGATGCCGCCGAAGTTGGTGGCGCCACCTGATATTCCGCCGAAGCTGCCGCCTCTCTGAATGCCAGCGAACCTAGCGCCACCTGTAAAGCCGCTTCCGCCGCTCTGAATGCCAGCGAACCTAGCGCCACCTGTAAAGCCGCTTCCGCCTCTCTGAATGCCAGCGAATCTAGCGCCACCTGTAAAGCCGCTTCCGCTTCCGTATCCGAGGCCCAGCGCCCCCTGGAGGGCGCAGCCGAGGACGACGACGACGACTAAGGTCTTCATGATGAACTTCTGCGAGAAACAGTAGAAGCTATAGTACGCTATAGATAGCAAGTGTAGAGTTACTTTCCTAGTAAAGCAGAGGGGAGCTATAGTAAGCTATAGATATCAAGTGTAAGTTAGGTTCCTTGTAAAGCAGAGGGGAGCTATAGTAAGCTATAGATATCAAGTGTAAGTTAGGTTCCTTGTAAAGCAGAGGGGAGCTATAGTAAGCTATAGATATCAAGTGTAAGTTAGGTTCCTTGTAAAGCAGAGGGGAGCTATAGTAAGCTATAGATATCAAGTGTAAG